GGGGGGGGGGGGCGGGGGGGGGGGGGGGGGGGGGGGGAGGGGCCTGTGCTCGTCAACCGACCGGAACAGGAAACACCGCACATTCGTTTCCTCTTGCAGAAAGAAACGAGCGCATGAAACATTCAGCGGAAACCCCGCGATGCACTTCCGGTCATGCCGTGTCCGGAATCGAGGAAAAGCACGGGTGAAAAAATTACGCGCGCACTTCCCGCAATTGAGATGAAGCTGTCCAATCCACTCGTAAAAAATGCGCAGCTCTATGATACACAGAACCGTATAAACCGGAATCCCGGATAACAGACGCCTCGAATAAACGATTCTTTGCACAATGCACTCGGGTTAACGTCGCTTTTTACGCCAGATAGTATCAGTGGAACAAACTTTCTGTAATAGGCAGCAGGAAAATTATCGACAGTAGAATCTCGTTATAACGAATAATTGTTTACAATAAAGTCGTTTTCCTACTCATAAGCCACACTGTTGAATACGGTATAGGTTAACGATTTTTTGTCGTAACAAGGCTCTTCTGAAGATCCCAATAATACGTATCACAATGAATTATTCCATGACTATATTTGCATAATAGCTTCACATTTCTCACTTAGGGCCGGAGACTTTTTGGCTTATGGAACAGATTAATCAAGTTGTATCTAGTGCTGATGCATAGCGCCTTGGATTACTAAGTTAATGGACTTCCGGCTTAAGTTAACCCCCAGCTCTACAATGGTTGAAGTCCAGCATAATACCCAAGGGAACAATGTATACCTCCAATATGATTGTCTTGAAGATGCGAAGCTTTTCATAAATTCAACAAAGCTGTGGATGAGGCCTGACACCTGAATTATGCAAAACATACGTGGATGAGTTTGTGCGTCCTCCTTTATTAAAAATGTGGAAAATTCTAAAGGATGTGTCTCAGATACGGGTTTTCTTGAACCATTTGTATACACTGCAGTTTGTCGAATAAAAGTTCTTCGAATCTTTTGTATCGTGATCCACACATATCACACTAAATCCGTTACAGAATAGCTGTGCACCTTCAGGTCGGGGCATGATACGAAACTTGGAAATATAAAAAAAAACTTGCAACTCTCACATTATACTTAAGATGCTAACAGTCTCTCCGAACACAAAAATATCCTCCTCAATCAACACAAAATACCCACATAATTTGCCTTATATAGATATCTTTCTAAAAGCAACAATTACCAAGAAAGAAAAATAAATATCCAAAGATACCTTTTTCAATTTTGTTTAGCTTCGCGTTTCTGCGTTTCATCATGAAAAGAGACACACGATGGCATAAGCAACACTCTTTCACAACAGGTGTCTCTCGGGCTTTAATATAGGCTTAATCTCAAAGGAATATTGAACCTCACCAGCAGCACGGCACGGGCCACTGGTTATACCCCCTGGTGCTCTCTATATTCGAGAAAATATTTGGCACTTGAGTAAAGTGACAGCTGTCCGGTGCATCTGGGACACGAGGAAGAATACAGTGCGACCCCCACATGTGGACACCTTGACAAGTGGGCAATTCGACATAGGGACATTTATTTTCTAATTGAAAAGACATAAAAAAGCCCCGACATGTGGAAAGTGACTCAACATGCAGCAGACAGACATGGCATGATAAAATAGCCAATAAGTTTCAGAAAAGTGCATTTTATCAGGCTGAATAGTAAGAAACAGATATTTACAACCCTAAGATCTATGCCAGAAAAATTCTCAGGTATTTTTCCTACCCATTCAGCTAATTGAAAAACATTTACCTCCAGCATAGAGGGACTTCCTTCTCTCTCTCTGTGACTTGAATGTTGTTTTTACAGGTGCCAACGTTTTAATGTGCTGTACAGAGGTACAGTATTCAATGCTCCAAATGGTCTTATTGAGTTGAAATATCTTCACTGAATCAATTTAAATTTGCAGACAATTTTTTTCATGGAATTCTGATGAATATTTCTTCCAAAAAACACCAGTTAAAAATTACATATTGTAATTCTAAGGGAAAACCATAGGGATATTTTGACTTAGGAACACTCTTGATGCACCAATTATGTCCGCATCTCGGGGTCTCACTGTACATTCAAGGTATATCAAACGTAAGCAACAGAATTTCAGTATTTCAACAACAGTATTTCAGAATGCCCAGACTTCCCCTCAGGAAAAAACAAGCATGAAAACTTGCTGCAGGGATCAGATAAATATTTGCGGTCACATCATTCAAGCAAGAATAATAAGGCATTTTTAAAAAAGATTTATTTTCGTTCCTTTTGGCATTCCTTTTTTAATGTAACGCCTTTGTTTTTGAGCTACAGTCCTTTAGTCGTCCCGATAAAGCATTAGAGTTGTGAGCGGTAGTTCTTACCTTTTGCAAAAAAACTGTAAGTCTAAAAAAGCACGAAAACTCCGTTTTTCTAAGACAATCAACAAAATTAAAAAATCTAAAAAATTCAGTAACTTTTCTGCAATTAGAGCTCGGAAATTCCGCAGAAAAACTGCTTTGCGCATATGCCGCCGCTTATTGAATATTTATTTCTCTTGAAAATCTATGTTAACAAAGACACTGAACATTTTCAAAGAAGTTGAGAAAACCTAGTAAATTCAGGTTAAACAATGAAGATATCTTGTCTGATTGGCTGTTGGCTATTTATTCGAAATCAGACAACCGAACACCAAAAAGAAAAAACCTCATCAACCCTCAAGTTAGTTGTAATAAAAAATCACTTGGCGCCTTTCCTTCCGAATTCACGTTTTCAAAAAAGCCTATCCTGACCACAACAACGCAAACAAAATCATAAAATTTAAAAAAACGTTTCTCTGAAGAAAATAAACTTCAAATATTCCAGAGAATGCATCTGTTACAAATCATTTCCAATTTTCCGGGCTACATCAGCATACACTGTAAATTAAACAAAAATCGCCTCAAATGATCGACACGCGTCATCGCCATCCATGTTCAATTGCGTGGAAGATGACTATAACAACTACATTTTGGATGAGGAATTCATGAAATCATCTCTGGGCTAATGCATCATATGAGAAAAGTCGTTGTGGGAGGTTCTCTAAAAGGCGTTACAGCCTTTCGTTGTTCCTGCAATAGGCAGCGGCATGTGTTCATGACTTTGCTTGGCACAGGAGAACTAGAGAGAGTCTTGTAACAAGTAGCGTTATCACAAAAAAATAAACAATAAACATTTTACGAAATAGAACAATTGAAAAGGGCTTCCCGTTCCGTTATAAGAAAAAAGTTGAAACATTGAATCGATCCTCCTCAAAAACTGTCAACAATCTCACAAAGTTGCTTTTAGTGAACGCTGAAATTGAGAGTTTTGCGAATGGTTCACTTCGCATCAAAACTGGCCCTTCTTTTGTGTCTGTTTAGAAACAAACAGTCACAATAGATTCATGCCAGAGACACACACAAAAAAAGAAGAAACTCGGAACAAAGAAGTTATTGCACATAAAGCCAAGTCTGACGTTTACATCAAATCAAGAAGAGTATAGCGATGTACATATTCGCGAGCCAAGCAGAGAGATATAAACACATTCCTCGCTGAATAAATGAATTTTTAGCAAACGTGCGAGAGCAAAACATGCGAGCATGCTTGTTATTCTTTCCCATATACAAGCTTCATTCACATAAGTTTCTCATAAACATTATTTAAAAAAAATATGAAAATTCGAATCCGAGTCAGGAAATTACAGAATTACAGAATTTTAAAATTTACTTTTGAAATTTAAACGCCTAGAGCCCTGGATTAATAAACGCAGATGCAGTGAGCGTCCATTTATTATACGGTACTTACTCATGTATACAAATACAGTGAGACTCCCACATGCGGATAACTCGACATGAGAAAAATTTGACATAGGGACATTTTTTTCAATAAAAAGGGCATTAAAAAGGCCCAACATATGGACACTGACTCAACATGAGGACATTGAATGATAAAATTGCCAATAAATTTCACTAAAATTGACTTTTATTTGGCTTGATTGCAAGAAACAGATACAGTATTTCCAACCCTAAGATTTATGCAAGAACAATTCTTTGTCATTTCTCCCATCATTTTCCCATTCATTCAGCTAGTTGAAAAAAATACCGATTGCATGGAAGGACTTCCTTCTCTTTTTGTGACTTGAATTTTATTTTGTAGATCCCAACATTTCAATGTACAGTATAGAGGTGCAACTATTCAATGCTCCAAATGTTCTTATTGAGCTGGAAATATATTCACTGAATCAAATTCAAGTGGCAAACAATTTTTTTCATGGAATTCTGAAGAATATTTCTTCCATAAAACACCAATTGAAAATTATATAATGTATGTCTATGGTAAAACAAGACTCAACTTAGGGACACTCTTAATGCACCANCAGCAACACCCTCCAAGAGATTTTCCGCAATGTCGGAAAGCAACAAGGACGTTATCCGT